GGGTCTGTAGGTGTCAATTGTGACAGCAAAGAACAGGGAGAAGAGTGGGCTTTCACTAGTCAATCTATAGACACTTTAGCACTTTGTCAATACCAGTACCTTATATTCCACACAAAAGCCAATAGGCAGCTGTTGCAGTACTTACATCACTAACGAACCTGCTTACAGTGAGTTCCTTTACTTAACACATGGGCTAATGCATTCTGCAGTAACTTCAGCTCCTGAATTAATGTAATCAAACTGGAAAAACTCTTGAGAACAGTTTTCTAGAATGTTCTGCATTGTACTTTAAATCCTGGCTTTCCCCTAAACCATAGCATTTCATAAAAATAGAGGTGGCATGGTTTTGGAATGGATTTAGCACACCATTTTGCAACCTCAAAATAAAAGTTTATGATTCTAACTGGGTTCTAAAAATGGACAGAAAATGGAGAGAGACGTTAAGGAGAAACTTGTATATTTTTTTCCTGGCAAGTTCATTGCTTGTCTTAATCATAATGACACACTTTTTCATTGTCTGTGTATAATGTATGCTATTTGGTTAAGCAAGAATGTTTTCTTTGTAAATTAATCAACCATGAGGGAGGCTGCCTTCAATTTTAAAAATGTTAGTTCCATTACAACTGATAAAGTAAACATGATGTACACTTCAAGTATCAAAATAAAGACCAAATTCATTGTAATATTTTAACATATTATAATATCATTACTTTATTCAAATATGAGATTAAAGATGCTCCTTGGGGCCAGTACTGATGCATCATTTTCCCTGGTCTGTTCTAGGCATAACTTCCAGACTATGAGTGAGATCAGATTGTATTGTAAACTCTGAAATGTAGTGTGGGAGAGTAAATGAAAGGATAAGACGGTTGTCAACTCTTGATGTGTAGTTCCACTTAAAGAAGTAGCTTGATAAAAAATGACATGAGGAATAAACACTTATTTTAGTCAATAAACTGAACATAAATGACAATGAATGGCTCTTGAAAGCACTACTTCGCCCAAGGGAGTGAGGGTCTTGAGAGTGAAGGCAGTAGAATCTAAGATTTTATTTTGAAGCCCTTGTAGCTGCAAAGAGAACTTCCTGAAAATAACTGAGTTTAAACCACTGTAATGCTGCTTTCCTGATCAGCAAACAAACAATGGATATAGCTTGTCTGGTACTCAGAGCTTTTAAGTACCGGTTGGGTGATATCAACAAGACCCTGTTCAGTTTTTGTGTTGCTGTTAAGAAACCTGTGAATTACAGCAAATCTATTCATATGTGTTGAGAGAGAACATCATCAGAGGTAGGCACTGGAAGTGGTGACACAGAAAAGGGATGGAGGAAAAAATATAAGGTTTGAGTGAGTTATGAAAAGCTCGTCTGTTCCAGCAACTTGAGTGGATGAAACATAACTTAATCAAACCTTGACTTCCCTGAGCCTCATAGGAATAATATCCTCCATTCTATTTAAGGACAACAGGCTGATAAGACTCCTAGGATGGTGTTAAAATCAAGTGTATACCTTTCTGAAATAAATGATACAGGCCAAGTAGAAGTAGTAGAATCGATCTAGAAATTATTGTTTAGAATTTCCTTGTTAGGTGAAAAACAAGATTAGATGGTTATAGTATTCCTGGCCTAAAGATCTACCTCCATTTCTTGAGACCTTCTCAGGGTCTAAAGAAGCATACTTGACCTCTGCCTCCATCTTGCAGTAGCATTAGCACCTTTTCCCCCTCCACGTGCAAGAGAAGATGGAGGGGAGTACCAAAGGACAGCAGAACTCAGGATCGTTGGGTAGTGGACATAGGTACTTCAGGGTGACAATATGTGAGGGACAGGGTTTGGAATTAACAGAGTTGTGTAAGGCTAGCAGTCTAAGCTATAACAGGAAAAGGATTTGGAGGTGGCAACAGGCAGAGGTGGGGCAAGGGTTAGAGGACACAGTGTCACAGGGATGAGTAGATGATGAGGGACAGGAACATTTGGGTGCACAGGAACTGGGGAAACAGCAGAGTCTGGGGTTGATAAAAACCAAGAAGATGAAGATGCTAGAGATTGAACAGTAACAGAAGACAATGAACCAAGCTAGAAGAATTATAGAGAGGGAGGGAATGTGAGCAACGAGAGACAGGAGACTAGAAAAACTGACTTTTCAGTTGTGGAGATGTGAGAAAAAAAATAGGAGGCAGAGCCAGGAAACTTTAAGAAGCTGTTGTAAGAAGGAGGGAAAGAAAGAGAGGTTAAGTGGAACTAGCAGAAGCTACAAGTCATAAAGAGGTCTGGAGGACTGCAGAGAGTGTGAGGATGGGAGAGGGTGGAAAAAAACAAGACAGTATGAGGGTGATTGGGTATGAAATGGAGGACTGAATATGGGGAAAGAAGGGATACATTAATATGGAACTGGGGCCTGGAAATCTAAAAGCTCCAGCTGAACTCTGCTGCTCACAAACTTGGGAAGCCCAAGAGGAGACATAAGGAAAGATGTTTGGAAAGATTGGGAAAAACCAAGACTGCTGAATAAGCAGTTACTTTTGGCAGAGCTGACTCCTAGGACCATCAACTTAGGTTCCATTCCCCAGTGCTTAGGAGTAGAACCTGAACGCTGGGGAATAGAAAATGCAAAGTCCTCCAAACAAAGATTTCATTAGTAATCACTGCTGATCACTACAGCAGTGGAAATATTCAATGGGGTAGGAGGGGGGGCGGGGCTTGAGTTTGCTACGGCGCTGTGCTTAGTGCTGTGTGGCCGGCTGCAGCAGCGCAGTGCGGGGCGGTGGTGGGGGTGGCTGCGTGCCACCCAGTCACCACCACGCTGTCGCTGCCGCCCAGCAACCAGCCACACAGCTCCAGGCATGGCTCCATGGTTGCAAACCCAAGCCCCACCCCCCCTTCCACCCTGCGTATAGTTGAATTCGCGCAAGTTAAATGCGCGTAAGATGTGACTCGCCTGTATACACTTCCACAGATAACTGGTTAATTTTAGGTGAACCCAGCTCTGCAAAAACAGAAGCTTTTCATTCTTACATATTTTTCTTATAGCTTTATACAAAGAGAAAGTAACAATGGTTTGAAATGGCTAGGAAAATAGCTATTTGAGTAACACATTTTAAGGTGAAACGACAATGTTTTGCAATTCACAAGTCTTGAGAAAAAAATTAAATATCCAGTATGGTCCTTACCCCTCCCCCCCCACCCCCCCCAAAAAAAACCCCAACCAACCAACCAAAATTTCCATCGTGTTTCTCAGAATAACACAACTTAGTTTGTTTGTGAAATTGCAGTGCCCATGTGGCAACATATAGCCATTCAGATTTGAGCTTTTCTTTTTCCAGTATGTGGAATGGCCTATATACTCTGCTGGCAGGTATAAACAGGACAAAGCTTTTAAAGTGTTGATTTTCACTGAGAATATAATGTATACAGAGAATTGGAAAAACTAATTTATATGCAATGAAGTATGGTGATTAAATGAAAAATAGAAGCATTAATGTAATTCAGGAAAATATTCAATAATCAATATGCAGATGTACCATTAATAATGATAGATTTGCATTTTGAGTCAGAATACTAAAAGATTCCATCCCTCCTCTAGATTTATGATGTTCTGCTTCGATATATCAAAATTAAAAAGAAACGCTTATAGAAGCCAAAGTTCTGCTCTTAATATGAAATATAAGCAGTTCTCTGAGTAATCAAGCATAGGTGGTTATTTTTATCATCTATATCTAGCTGCTTTTTTGTAGCACTGGTTGTATTGTGACTGTACAGTCTTGAGATTTTGGATTCAGCATAGGGAGTCTACAAATGAAGAGCCTTGTTCAGTGCTATTTCTGAAAAAATGTGAATATTTCTATGATTCTTTTAGTACTTGTCATGTGAAACTGCTAGAAGTTTTGAGTCTCACCTGCAATAGAAATGCAAACAAAAATATGAAACAAATAAGTTTTATTTGGAGTAACAGAACTCAGTTGGGGCCAAACATTGTGAGCCTCACACAAGTCACTACAGAAGGTATTTTACCCTGTATCTCAGAGGCCAGAGATGACTTGAGAGGCGACCTTGTGGCTGCCTATAAATTCATCATGGGGGTGCAGAAGGGAATTGGTGAGGCTCTTCTCGCCAAGGTGCCCCTGGGGGTTACAAGAAATAATGGCCACAAGCTAGCAGAGAGCAGATTTAGACTGGACATTAGGAAGAACTTCTTCACAGTTAGAGTGGCCAAAATCTAGAATGGGCTCCCAAGGGAGGTGGTGCTCTCCCCTACCCTGGGGGTCTTCAAGAGGAGGTTAGATAAGCATCTGGCTAGGGTCATCTGAACCCAGCACTCTTTCCTGCCTATGCAGGGGGTCTGACTCGATGATCTATTGAGGTCCCTTTCGACCCTAACATCTATGAATCTATGACTTCAACATAGGGGAATCCCCACTAGTTTCCAGTTTTTGTGCTGCAGAAAGAAGGAAGGGAAGCACGGCTCAAGGCTAAGTTATCTAAATACTGTTGTGACCAGGCTATAATAACTGGATGACTTTCCTCTGTAATATCTATGCTCAGTTTTCAAACTTGCCAATTAAAGTTGGCTCCAAGATACTTCCTTTAGACAATCAGTCATGCACTTTATTCATTTTAAACACTTAAGTACCAATGTTAGAATCCAAATGTAGGTTTTCGCTTTCTGATTACGGTGCCAGATTAAGAAAACAGGGCTATTGGAATACCATATGTTCAGTTATATAGGGTAACGGTAGCGAAGAGCAAAGTGTGTATTACATCTTATTACCATTCTTAGAATATAGAACAAATTGGCAGGATATCACATCCAGGGAAAACCATCCTACTATTGCTTTGCCAATGCTCCCCAAATCTGGCTTTGTTAGCTTTGTACTACTGGCATCTTCTCCACCCTGTGAATGATTTCTTGTATTGACAGTCATGTTCATAATTAAGCAAAGAAAATGGAGACATCAGTGCTTAGGGCATATGATTTACAGAAGATTTTCCTCTTGCCTTCTAGACTGATCAATGGTCAACAAGGAATTACTATTAAAAATTATAATACAAGATCACTTCTTACTGTCACCAATGTGACAGAGGAACATTTTGGCAACTATACATGTGTCGCTGCCAACAAGCTAGGACTGACCAATGCCAGCCTCCCTCTCAACCGTAAGTAATATGGATATGTTGCAAAATGTCCCTAGTTGCATGTGGGTTTTTTTGCAGTTACGGATGAAAAAGCAGAGGAATTCTGTAGATTTGTTCTGGTTTTCTTCAAAAGGCATGAATTCATTTACTGCAGTTGTATCTAACTATCACTTTTATGAAGATTTTATATTATGCTTTAGAAGGATCTTTATTTTGAAAGTGGAGAAAAGTATTGAAGGAAGTCAATGCTTCACAGAACACTAAAAATACAAAAATCAGAGTTCTTGGTAAAAGCAGGAAAATCTGTGCCAACAGAACAAAAATTATCCATATCTTAAGATGTTAATAAAAACTAAGCAAAACAAATGGTTCCAGTCAGAGCAAGGGGGCAATAACTGAACATGGATAAACTAGACTTAGGCTTATGGAGATTCGCTCTCATAAAGGAATCTTCACATTTTATTTTTAAAAATGTATCCAAAACTATGGACCAATTCATATCTGAATTTTAAAGCTTCATCTTCATGTAAATGTAGAAGGAACTGTGTTGGACAAAGCAGAATAACACTGGTTAATGTCCTTTTTTGCATAGAGTGGCTCTCAAATGTTCAGTTAGAATTATCATCTATTTTTAGATTTTAGGAGTTTATTTGTAGTTGCAATACTTTTGGAGTTGATGAGTCTTGATAGGTATCTTGGTAATATCTAGAAATATGTTTTGTCTATCATGTTAATTATGAGTATTTTTTATTGTTTCTTAACATAACAGATCTTATGGTTAAAAAAAAATAAAAATACATGAACAATTTCTCAAAATTGGTATATTTTACTTGGAAAATATTGTGAGTCTACAAATAAAGTTTCCCTTTGTAAACCTCAGGACTCAGGAAATAACTAGATCAGGGTGCTCAACTCTGGCATGTGGGCCAGATCCGGCCCCCAGTATCATGTCATCTGGCCCATAGGGCTGCCTGTGGGTTCAGAAATTTGTCAGTGGGGGAGTTGTGGCATTGATCCCCTGCTGCCCAATTTACAGACCTGTAGAGACTCTGTAATTTGTAAGTGGTGAGGAAAGGGTGGCCTAAAGCCTGTCTCTACAATTTGGATGTATTTGAAATTTGTATCTGTGCGTAGAATTTGGGGGGGTGTAAACTAGATAAATACAATCAGGTTAAATGATCATTTATAAATGAATGTGACATTTTTATTTGAAAAGAAATTCTGCCCCAATTCACCTCTAGCTCAGTGGGGACAGGAATGAGTTCAGTAAATTAAATGGTTATATACATCCCCAGTTTATGTGCAGTTTTAGGTATATACAGGTGTTGAATTTAGATCCATGTAACTAGAGTTAGGTCAATCTAAGTGCCTGATTGTACAGGCATTCAGAGGGCTTGAATTACCCAAAAAATGGCATGCCTGATCTAAGTTAGTTCACCTGAGTAGGTGCGTTAACTTAGCTCGAGATTGGGTTAACTCAATCTAGAAAAGAGTTAACCCAATCTCTGGAATGCCTGTAAGCATTTGCATCCCAGCCCTGGGGCTGGAAAAGTCCAGCCACTTACCTGCGTCCTAGGGCTGTGCTATCCCCCACCCAGCCCCAACCCTGACTGAGCTATTTTTACCCCCACGCCCCACAATCCCCAAAGCCCAGATAAATGACCCCCACTTTCCACCAAACCCCTCCCCATCTCATTACTTACCCCAGGCTCCCTGTGCAGCCCCTGCAAGCAGCAAACTGCTGCACACACTGCTCCCAGCAGCAGCAAACTCCTTAAAGTAAGCCACCTACACCTAGACCAGGTGCAGTGAATGCTTATTTGCACCCTCAGATATTATGGACGCTGATTCAGAGGTGTATGTCTGTATGCATGTATGCACACGTGTGGGTGCAGAGGGGTGGAAATGCTAGGCAATATGATCATGCATAGTAGATTGCACAAGGGATACATACCTCCTCCCTGTACACATGAAAACCAGGTTTTTTTGGCCTGACTTTTTGTTCAGGTAAGAACAGTGAATCTGCTTTACCTCTACACAATGTATGTGATCCATCTGTGAGGTTGGTTTGCTTCACTATGAGTTTGGAGTGTGTAAGGAATGTGGGACTGAGTATCATATAACAGAACAAAATATCTTACTATCACATCAAATTAAATATCATATAACAGAACAAAATATCTTACTATCACATCAAATTAAATATCATATATCAAATAAAATATGCTATTGTTTCACAAATGAAGATAAATCAAATTATGGTTGATCAACAGCCAATGAGGTGCATAAAAGTACAGGTTCCCCTCGATTTATGCAGGTTCTTTATATGCGAATTTGCTCTTATGCGATGAGCATGTTTAGACCCATAATTCATTTTATGAGAGGAAAATTCGCTCTTATGCGATCAGCATAGATGCCCCCCCACCCAAGCAGGTAAGTCTGTGGGGAAAGGGCCATGGCCCCATTCACCCCAGGCCTGGCTGCAGCAGCCCCAGGAGCAGCCCCGGGAGCAGCTGGCTCCAGCTGCTTGCACCAGGGCAGGGCACAGCCCAGGAGCAAAGGTGAGTGGGGACAGGCGGAGCACAGTGCAACCCCCTTCCCTAGTCCCAGCCTCACTCCCTCCCTTCCTCCCTCCCTCACTGCCATGGGAACCTATCCCTATTTGTTACATTGTAAAGTGGGTTCGCTTTATGCAAATTCAATTCATGTGCCAATCTCTGGGAACACATATACAGCATAAATCGAGGGAAACCTGTAAATAATGTTGACTTCCAGGGAAAAATCATTTGTTCCTGTGTCATGGTCTGCATAGTCACATGACATGAGAAACAGTCTCATGCAAAATTCCTTAACGACTGATTAAGTATCAGAGAGAATTATCTCTCTAAAGGATACTTACAGTCTCTTTTGATGGGAATGAGAGAAATAAGAAATATACTATTATAGTAGACAGGCCATTGTTCAGAGGGGGAGATTTAACAATAGATGGTTAACAGATATATTTGATCATCTAATGTACAGCTAAATATAATCTGATCACAATGTTACTGAATATATTTTAAAGTTAGACCATCATGTCTCATTTAAATGTATATGAATAAAAAATAAAGCATGAGTGCGTTAGAACAATGCAAAATGAGCTGTAAAGTGGTTAGAATAGTGTCATTAGACAAGCTGCCAATAATTAGGAAGATTAGGGAGCCCCTGCTGGATGTCCTTCTGTGTTCTTATGCAAAACCACAATCAGTGTATGAAGACAAAGTGATTTTATCAGGATTCTGTCACAAAGCCTTGCTTATAGTACAAGAGCTTCAAATTCTGAATGTAAAAGACTACACACCTCTGCTATTAGGTATTGGCAAATTGCCCAATGTCTCTGAGTAATTGCTAATTGGCTACTTCTATCTGCATTTTTAAAAAGGTACTTCTGTACAGCAGTTAAGAAGGCTGAATTTTTCCTCAACTGCAGGTTCATATTTAGTAAGTAAATCGCATGTCAGTAGCTCAGCACCACCGCCCTCTTTTAAAGGCAGACTCTAGTACTATTCTCTTGTACTAGTATCAATGTCAAAAACTATTCTGTAAAAGGATTTAAAGTAAGGCTATTAAAAAATAGAAGCATACTTAACATAGGATTATGTGCTCTGCTAGCAAGGGGAGAATGGGTGTCAGTGAAGTGTAAATACAGGCTTAAATTGAGAGGGAAGCAAAAATAGGCTTCCCTATAGGATAGGGGCTTCTATCATGGAGATGATAGAATTATAAGGTACTGAATCTCTTCATGCGGGTACAGAAAGCTGGTTTGAAATGATGGTGAGAGTGGGTTAAGAGAGTTGCACAGCTATAGGACAGCAATACCAGCTGGATGGAGGAATAGAAGAAAAATCTGCCTGTGGTACTTGTTTTCTGAAGGGGGAGAATATCCTCACTTGCTTTGGACAGGAGCAGCTAAAGGAGCTAGTTATGATCATTTGTATTCATGGGAAGTAGGAAGCTGGGAAGTAAATAAAAAAAAGCCTTGCATATGAAGCTGATATTTTTGTGGGCTTACCCAAACCTATGGCTCCTGTAAATGTTGTACAGTTTACCATATTACTCATTGAGGAACATAATGGGTTATGTCTGAAAGTGTATAAGCTACTAAAAAAAAAAAGACTATCACCTGAAAATAAGGACTGAAAATTGCCCTCCCCCCCGCCCAAAAAAAAAAACCCCAATCCCAGAGCAAGCCAGTGGTTCCAATGAATTAATAATGAATGGCAATTTGCTAATTATTCAGGTCTAAACCCTTAGTATATTTCAAATATGTTATTTTCCAAATCTATTTTCTGTTTATGGGCAGATAAATTGGAAAAGCTTCCCAAGGTGCCACTTCAGTATGTGTGTTGGGGGGTGGGGGGGTTGCATGTGTATATTGGATGGTCCCACTCTGCCATCTATGGGCCCAATTCATCTCGTGTTTAGCACTATTTATGTGGTTTTCCACTGTGTGATATACTTAAATAGAAAAAGAACTAAACCTTTTCTATAAGTAAAACATGAATGTTATGATTCATTAAATCCTTTCTTCTTCAGGGAACAAGTGGTATTATGGTATGAACCCAGCATAAAAGGTTCCATTTACAAAGAAACAAGGCAAGGAGTCAATAGAGAAAGGAAAAGTCCTTGTTGAAATATGCAAATTTTGCTTCTAAATTAACACAATTTTCTTTTAAAACAGAAAGCACTTTCCTGCAAACAAATCTGTGAAACTGCCCAGAGGGCCAAACCTTAACTCTAGCCACTAACACAGAATTTGCATCATTCCATACTTTGTTGCTCTAGAAAAAAAAATAGTCTCAATTTACTGCTAAAACTTGTATCTCATGCAATATTACATTCTATAAATCAAATGCTGTAATCCTCAAAAAATCTTTGCATTTGTGACTGTAGCTTACGAAGTTGATAGGGTTTTTTTCGCAATAAGAAATGTATAAAATGGTGGAGCACATTTTTCCTATTTGTAATAAGTAATGGAAGAA